GTAGTGATCAATAAAACTGATAAAATACTGAAAACCATCAACAGAAACAAGGGGTGAAGGGCCCCAAACATCAGAGTGGACTAAATCAAAGGGAGCTTGAATTTCATTACTAGAAATTGGATAAACAGTTCTACATTGTTTTGACAGCTGACATACTTCACAAACTAAATTTTGACTTGAAACACCCTTGAATAATTCTAGGAACAACACTTCTAATGATGAAAAAGGTAAATGACCTAGCTAGCATGCCACAGATGTAACCTAGCTATTGACTCCACATTGGACTGACTACTAGTAGCAGATGTTTGTAAGGCCGAACTGATGTCTGCATCAAGGTAGTAGAGACCTCCATACTCATGACCGCTCCCAATCATTCTCTTCGTCAATCTATCTTGGAAGACACAATGAGTAGGAAAAAAAGTTATGCTACAATTCAAATTATTGGTAAGCTTTGAAACAGATAAGAGATTTGAAGAAAGATTGGGAACGTGCAGAACAGATTTGAGTGAGAGGTCCTTGCTTAGGTCAACCACCCCTTTCCCATAGATGGTAGAGAGAGAACCATCAGCAACCCTCAACTTATCTTGGCTAGACAATAAATGATAGGAAGAAAATAGAGAAGGCATATGTGTCATGTGGTCAGTTGCACCGGAATCAATAATCCAAGAAGCAAGATCAATAGAACTAGTTGCACTAAAAGCAAAGACAATACCTGATCTGGCAAGGGAGGTGGAGGCAAGAGAATTGGTCCTTAGACGGGCTAGAGCCCGGCTAAGTACCTCTACCTCATCAGCAATGAAACCGAAGGACCCGGGTCCGGAGGAATTAGCAATCTGTCCCATGGGAGAAGAAGTAACTGTGGATGAGTGTTTTGAGCTATCATCACTGTGACTAGCAACCAAATTCTCACTTGCAGCTTGACCCTTCTGATGCTTCTTATCTTTCCTCAAAGCAGCAGGTTTTAGATGCGGATAGAGAACCCAACAAGTCTCTTTCACATGCCTTTCTCCTCCACAGTGGGTGCACTTCAGATGCCTCTTGTCCGAGTACTTATTCTTGTCCGAGTACTTATTCCCCTTTTGGTTTGTAGAAATTAGGGCCGAATGTTCGACAGGCTGTTCAGCTGGCTTACTTTGAGTATCAACTTGCATCTCTTTTCTTCTAACCTCTTCATTCCTCATAAGGTAATAAGCATGATGTAAATCTGGCATTTCATCCCTTCCCAGAATTTGGAACCTTATGTTCTCATATATCAGATCTAAACCAGCCAAAAATTTAAATGCTCTGCCCTCCTCAATTTGTTTGTCATGCCTTTCCTTGTCTTTGGCATTCTCCCAATCAAGAATAAGGTGATGATCTAGCTCTTCCCAAAGTCCTTCTAAGGTAGCAGTGGTTGCAATAGTCATATCCCCTTGCCTCAAGGCAGCAATGTCTTGATTCAGTCTATAAATTCTGGCATTGTTTTTTCTCTGCCCATAAATTTTAGACACTTTCTCCCAGATCTTGGCAGCAATGGAGAAATGTTGAACAGTCCTAGCTACTCTTGGAGTCATTGAAGCAAGTAGCCAGGACATAATAGTAGCATTCTCCTTACGCCAAACTGCATATTCCACACTACCCACTTCAGGTTCCTTCTTCGGCCCGTCCAAATAACCAGTGAGTTCCCGGGATGTGATGAAGAGCATGGCTGAAACAGACCATTCTCTGAAGTTGTACTCATCCAACAACACATTAGTGATCTGCAGGCTGTGCAGATTTGGATTCTCCAAATTAGGAGAAGAGAAGAAGAAGAAGAGAAAATTTTGAGAATGGCGGCAATAATCTCTTAGC